GGTGCAGGAATCTCACTTGAGAAAGAGACCATGCTGTCGAAGTGTGCTAGCCTAGCGGCTACCATGTATACTTCTTCAGCAACAGGACATCGCCATTACTATCATACGTCAATTTCATAGTGACATGTGTCACGAGCGCAAAAAAAGAACCAGGCAACATCATTACATTCTTGCTTTGATTCTCGTCACTCATCAGTTTGCGGGAAGCTTGGGCATTCCGTAGTCCTTTTGCGGGGTCCACTCCTCTTCAGTCCTTTTGCGCCCGGTCCGTTTATTGGCCCCGATCCTCTTGTCAACCTCTTCCGGGCTTGGTACGGGGCCCGGTCCTCTTCTCGTCCTCTTCCAGGGGGCCCAGTCATCTCCTCATCCTCTTCCAGGCTTGGTTCAAGGCCCGGTCCTCTTCTCGTCCTCTTCCAGGCTTGGTTCTCCTCTTCCAGGCTTGGTTCAAGTCCTCTTCCAGGCTTGATTTGGGGCACGGCCCTCTTCGTCCTCTTCCAGGCTTGGTTCGGGGCCCGGGCCTCTTCGCGTCGGGCACGTTCCTCTTTTCGTCCACTTCCAGGCTTGATTTGGGGCACGGTCCTCTTCGTTCCTCTTTTCGTCCTCTTCCAGGCTTGGTTTGGGGCCCGGCTTGGTTCGGGGTCCGGTCCTCTTCTTGTCCTCTTCCAGGCGGGGCACGTTCCTCTTTTCGTCCTCTTCCAGGCTTGGTTTGGGGCCCGGGCTTGGTTCGGGGCCTGGTTCCTCTTCGATCCCTTTCGGTTGGTTTTCTTCACGGCTTCTACCAAGGGCCGGTCTTCCTGTTGGCTTTTCCGTGGCTCGGGTTGGTTTGGGGCCCGGTCTTTGCCTGGTCCTCCGGGGCCTGGTCTTATTTTGCAGTCCTCTTCTCTCTTTTGGTCCTTTTCCGGGGCCCGGTTGCAGGCCTAGTTCGAGGCCCGGTCTTTTTGCAGCTCAAGCCTCTTCCAGGCTTCGTCACGTCTTTACTGGAGGAGGCTTTATCAGGCCCCAATTTTCTTTTTTTCTCTTGGCTTATTGTTTTTTCCGGGTTCTGAGGCTATGTCGTGGCTATGTCATGTTCAAGGCTTGAAGCCACTTTGACTACATCATGCTTGTTTCTTCCTCCAGATGTTCCTTTCAAACTTCTTGTGTCCGTTCCCAGTGTGAGGGCAGAATGACATGTTCGATGGCTCTCACATGCTTTTCGAACGATCCTGCTTCAAAGCCGACTCATCCAGGAACATGTCCGCGTTGTGTTTGTATATATATATATATATAAATGTGTGTGTGCGTGTGCGTGTCTTGGTATCGACGATTGTGACGCACTTGTGCCACTTTGTTCCAATTGCATGTGGCCGGAACATTTGTAAATTTGAGGATATGAGTGCTTGTGCGAGCTTGTTTACTTCAATGAATTAAGTATGCGTGTTCTGTCTGTTCTGTGCTGCAACTGATTCCTGCGCCAGGTCACGCCGTTGCTTCTTAATGAGTGTCAGCAGGTGTGGCCAGATGCTGTGTTTGCGACAAATAAACATCACAATGTTGCGCCGAACGCTCAGTGTTGCCTGGCACATGACCCCCTCCAGGATTGAAAAGTCAATTTCGGAGGCCAGCGGCAAGGTTGAACTGTGCCTCCTTCTTGCTTTCCGGTGTGTGTGTAGTAGTAGTAGACCCTTTCGCGTGCCCTTGCGTGTGTTGAGGAAGGATCATCTTGTGCCATGCGCTAGCGCTGCATGTTGTTGAAGTGCGACACACCTGAGCGCAATTTCAATGGGTCAGCAGTTTGTTACTCTCATGAGCTCCTGTAACTTGGCTAGAGAGCATTTGCGAGTCATGCTTCCAAAGAATTGAGCCTTCCTTGCAGGAGGCTGGCAGGCCATGGCGTGCCAGAGCCCCAGCTGCAGTTCACGAAAGCTTGCGTGTCGCTGTGAGGTAGAACTTGTGAAGTAGAGCTTTTGGCTCAAGCCGGCACAAGCCTTCGTCTGACCATCGACACTCGCCTGACCATTGCCGTCTGACCCTGCCGTCTGACCCTCTGACCATGCCAGTTCAGACATTCTACAAGGTGATCCGCCGGGACGCCTTGTGGGCCATGATGCATCTTCAAGGCCCAATCGTGTGCTTTCCGGCCGAAGAGACTGCAATCGACTCGGCTGTCTACTTGTCTGAGCTGGGCGCAGCATCTCGCAAGTTGAGGTTCCGCTTTTCAATTGGAATTCTTCTTCTTTTTCCAAGGCAATTGTTTACTATAGCTCAGGTTTCTCGCACATGTCCATGATGCTATTGCACCCTGCAGGCAGACATTGACTTCATGGATTCCGAGGGTGCCATTGACCAGGATTTTGAGATGACTCCGGCTGACCTGACTGAAGCGCTCCTCTTGGCCTTGGTCTCCGAGTACTTGCCAGGCAACATCACCAAGGTGAGCACCCCAGATGGTCGCTTTGGCTTCAAGATCGAGGACCTGGAAATCAAGACCCACAACATCACGGCAGAGTGGTGAACGCCTCAAACTTGGCCTTGAAGGACATGCCTGACCTGACAAAGCCTGCCAAGATGCGCAGGCCAGACGCAGCACCACAGACCATGGCCGACTCAGACCGCTGGTTTTACGTGTCCACAGACTTCTGGAAGCGGGTGTTGGTTCCTCGCTTGGAAGGACAGGGAGAGAGTCTGATGGTCACATCTGACTTCACAGAACGCACTCTTGGGATGCCCCTATACACAGATGGAGAGCACGCTGTTGTGCACTTGAGGTTCCTGGCATTGGCGGCTGCCGTGCGAGGAATCAAAGGCTTCTGACCCAGCTATGAGCAGCCCCGCCTGCAGTTCCTGAATCTTTTGTTGGACAACGGGGTGCATCTGACAGCTGAGCCACGCACGTTGCTGAGGCTGCAGTTTACGGAGATGCAGTCCATGGGTGTTGTGACCGCTTCTCCGTTGCAGACGGTGGACTGCTGGATCCTGAAGGGAGAGTGTCCTGTGGCCCAGGTCCATTGTGTTTGGCCGATTTGCCGGCCGACATATACTTTGGAGGCTTGTGTCCCAGACACGGTCAAGCTCATCGCCGCCGACACTTGCGTCAGAGAAGTGCACGAAGAGGGTGATGCCAGGTTTGTTGGAAGCGGGCATAGGCCAGATTTTTTAGCTGCTGCAGGCTAGAGACCCGTGCATCCTGTGGAGCAATCTTGCGGAGTGATAAATGGCGTCTCATGGAAGTCTTGATGTTTGGATGCTGATCGTTGATGCTTACAGTTTGAGATGTGTTGAATTTGTCTTGCGCCAAGGCCTTTCTGGGCTGCAAGGCCACACGCCCGCAGGCGCCATGGGCGACTCACATGACACTGTGGGCAAGTTGCATTTGACATGAAGGGGTAGCAAGGAAGCTGTACAATAACTGCATGTAACAGCAGCACGAGAAGAACCGGGCAAGGTCTATCCGGCTTCGGTTCTCCTCAGAGAGGTAAAGCGCTTGCAGACACTGGATGAGGATGTCTGCACGTTGAGGGAGGAAAATTCGTCTCTCACAAAGCATGTTGAACGTCTGACCTGTGACAATGATGCCAAGTGTCTGACAGAGCAGAGCCTGACAGAACAGCTTCTGACACAGGGCCAGGAAAACCAGCGCCTGACAGAGCTTGTTGATCGCCTGACCCACTGTTCCCAGGCCCAGCTTTTGCAGAATGTGGCTTGGTTTGCAGGTTCCCGAAAAACACAGTTCGACTTGTGCTCGTGAAATTTTGAGTACGTGCGCTAGCTCATCCGTGTGATGGGATCTGAGGTGGTGGTTTCAAGAAGCGCGAGACTGGGTAAGCAGCAGGGCTCGTTGCAAGCGAGGCACGGTTGCCGCCATGGCTGGATCCATTTCTAGTTGAGAAGCCTGAATTGTGAAATCAGGAGGCGAGAGCTTATGAGAATCAAGCGAGGTCAAGTAGTTCAGAGAAAGCTGAAACCATGATGTGGCACTTGTGGGCTCTCCTCTCTGGGCGGGGTGTTTTTTGCACATGGCTCCAAAACAGCTCGTTGGTCTACATCTCCCCTCAACGCACAGCAAAGGAAGGAGAAAGCATCAAGTTGTGCTCTGAGGGGGTCGACGGAGTACCCGTCTGCTTTCTTGTGAGGGACTGTGTGCTTTGAGCCTGTTTCATCCATTGGCTTTTCACAGTTTGGTTAGACAAGTCTGGGAATGCGCCCGCCGGCGCGCCCTTCCCCCCTGAACGCCCCCGTGCGCCCTCGTGCCCTGGACGCGCCCACGCGCCGGACGCGCCTGCGCAACCTGGACGTGCCTGCCTGCCCTGCGCGCGCCCATGCGCCTGTTGCGCGCCCGGGGCGCGCTCAACGCGCACGCGCCCTGGGCGCGCCCGTGCACCCTAAGCGCTCCCGCGCGCCCTCTGCGCGCCGCCTGGGGCGCCCTGGACGTGCCCCCGTGCCTGGACAAACGACAGCAAACGCGCCTGCGCAACTCTCTGACAGCAAGCGCGTGCTCAATCAAGGATTAAAGGTTCCACGAGAAGAAGGGGGGGGCAATGAAAAAGGTGCATGTTTGACCCCCTCCGCCGGAAAAGCAGAAAATTGAGCCCCAAAAATGTAACTTACATTTTGACCCCACCCCCTAATCGAGGATTAAGGGGATGGTGATACCGCAGAAAGTCATTCAGGTGTTGGGGGAGTTTCGTCCTGCGCGAAGCACCTGGCCAGCCGCTAAGCCGCCAATTCAAAAACTGTTCAGCTGGGAAGGGTCAACGAGGCCCTTTCATTCAGCGAAAGCGCCAAACTTGCAACAGTCATGATGTGACCATGGATGAATTGTTGCAGGGAATGGATAGAATTATTCAGCCTATTTCCTGCAAAGCAACACGAGCCTCTTTTGTGGCCAGGTTCCTGGATCCACGTTTGGTGTCAAGGGCCTTCGATTTGTCGTCAGGGGTTGAACTGTTCATTTGGGGCGGGGGCAACCAGCCACCGCTATATAGAATGGTCAGTCCTATCCCTTCACTTAGCCCCGCGGCCTTTCCGGCCCAGCTTCACAATCCTCGGCTCGAAGCGCTGTCAGGCGGTATCCGAAAACGTGGCTTAGCAAAGCGGACAGCAATGGCGTGCGTTGCTCAAAGCTTGGAACTGGGAAGCCTCGCATCAAATTGGAGGCTCCTCCTCAAACACACCAGAAAAAAAACACCGTGAAGCTCCAGATGGAAACAGGGCTGCTGAACTTGAAGTTGAACCCCTAGTGGGCTTCAATAAAACCGTTTCTCTGGCTTTGTACTTGCGTGGGGCACTCAATAGATGTTGTTGGGGGGTGCGCCTCCATTCATTGGGGGCTGGGGACTGGGGGTCACCTGCAACATGTCAGATATTGAAGGCTGAGCAAACAAATACAACAAAGCAAGAAACACAACCGGACTTTGAAGACTCAACAACACCAGCATAATCATAAGATCAGCGGTAAACTAAGACAGGGCACCCGAAATGGCCTACTTTCTGCGATCCTGGTCAGCTCCCTTGGCCCCAAACTCCATAGGATCATCTGTCCTCGGCTGTTGCTCGATCCACAAAGGCTGTCCGAAGGTAAACATGAGAGGCCCTAGAACCCACACCAAAGGGGCTTCGTGACCCTCATGAAAGCAAAACCAGGCGCAGTCAAGCCAACTTAGACCAAACGGTATCCAGATAAGACGAAACAAGCTCTTGCAGGGTCCAAGAAAAACAACAAAACAAAACAAAAGAGATAAGAACAAAGAAGCAACCGACAAGCAAGAGTCTTGAAGCAACACTTGTACAAAAGAGGGCCGGCGCTGTGAGCGACCCTTGGCCCGAAGCACACCTGCAAGTTGGACTCTGCGCCAAAACGCGGCAGTTCCAGCAGTCTTCTTGGCCACATATGTTGAGTGCGATTCAAATCAGCCGCTTGCTTAGGCCGCTTCGTGGCGATCTTTTTGCACCGCCGCATTTTGGAGCGGTTCACCTTGGGTTCGGACACCTTCACCCAGCTGCGAGCTCCGTCTGTGTGGAGGAACGCCCCGCCTCGGGTTGTTGACGTCATGCTAACAGTGACGGGTCAAAGAACAACAACATGCGCAACCATGCGAGACAACATCTGTTACCCAAGAGTTGTTGAAACACGCTGAAGATGTTGCTCTGAGCAACCTCTGCAGCGCTTTCCACCGTGGGTCCACATCCACAGCTCCGCCTGGGATGGGGCAACGCTCTCAGGTGAAGCTCGTGGCACATGACCAAGACGGTGAGGCCTTTAAGACAAGACGCAGCCGAGTCAAGAGTGGCAAAGCAGGCTGAGTGAGAGGGGCAGGCTGCAAAGCCTGGCTGGAAACGGGCTCCAGGTCTCGACAAGCGGCACGCATCAGCCGACTGCTCAGGACAATCAAAGCCGCAGAGATGCGCCCAAGCTTTGGGCTTCTTAGTCGCTCACAGGCAGCGAAAAAGCTCGTCAAAGCAAGTGTGAGCGCTTGTGTAGGTCGTCCTGTCCAAAGAAAAGCCGGTCCAGAAAGCGCACGTTGACTTCAAGCCCGGGCTTCAACGATGGCGGACGGCGAACAATGTCAGTCAACAAAGAAATCCGAAGCAAGAGCAGGCAAAACCAGCCAAGGAAGGCAGGAAATGAAAGCGCACGCGTGAGGCACAACTGCGGTGTGACAAAAGGAGAAATTGGATAGTCAGGTGGCAAGTTATCATCCCCGCCCCCCCCCCCCCCCTTGGAGAAGATGGCGCAGCACAACAAATGAAAATCTGCTGGGGTCGTTAATGGCGCCGGTAGCACGAACAACCGATGGGAATTCATCTATCCGCTTAATTCCGCTGATGAGAGGGAGCCAAAAGCTGTTCCTGCTTTAAGTTGTCATATAACCTCCTCATTGCCCAACAGTTTCGCTGATGAGTCACCGTTTGCGAACCCGACCCGAATTGGTCATCGTTGACGCGTCATTCTGTACAGTTCCCTGATCCGAGGGATGCAAGTCTTAACAGCTTGACCATAAGACGCGGCAATGACCCAAAAGCCGAGACAAGACAAGCGTTGGCCAACTAAGACTGAAAACCAAGAAAAACAGACATCAGCATTTGCAAATGCGCATCACACTTGACTCACTGACAAACACAGGAGAAAATCTACCTCATGAAAATCGCCCAATTCTTATTCAGGAGGGGAGGGTGGGGAATTGGCTCTTTTTGCAAAAAGGTGTCTAATGACCAGCCCTGTGCTTTCGGAAAAAAATAGACAATTATCTTCACAATTAATTTGCTGTTCGTGTCTGAACTCTTCACAATGGAGGGTTGTCCGCCTGTGGGTGACCAGCAGTAGTCTCTTCCCTTTTGCATTTTTTCTGCAAGTCTCAACCGCAAAGCTCTCAAGCCACCCTCGACCCATACCTACAGAAGGGACATGGGGCATAAGTGCCACTCCAGGAATTGCCCTAGTATGATGGACACGTCGGGTCTATGCTGCTATCACCTTCCGTGCGATAGCTCCCCTGAATAGCCATTTGTTTCTCATTTGAAACATCTACCAGTGATGACCTTCTCCCTTCCGAACTCAAAGTAATCGCCCGCCTTAAGCTAAGGCGATCAAATGGCAATCAGGCTCAACAACCCAACATGGCTCAGAGCAAGGTATTGCCGCAGGAATACACTCTACAATGTCAGGCAATGCAAAATTATTGGGCCAGCAGATTGTGATCGCCGTGAACTCCCTGCTCAACACAACGAAGACTTTCAGCCATCTCCCAATATTTTTTCTGGGGATTCATTTCCGGAGCCAAGACAACAGTCTGTTCCTCAAAACGGGCGGGCTTCGAGCCTGTTGCCATTCCCCTTTGTTTCAAGGGTTGTTCCCTGAAGCAAACACACCCTATGAATATCGCAGCCATTTCTCAAGTGCATTTCTCTTGCTCAACAACCCCACCCCCCCACCCTTCCGAGGGATAATCTTAGGGTTTGCCCAAAACGGGGCACTGGGCTTGCCGATTCGATGCCAATGAGCTCCCATGGGGTATCGCTGGTCATGAGCTCGAAGACCATGATGCCCAGGGACCACCAGTCCACCGCCTCAATGACTCAAGTGGATCGGCTATCTCAGAACTACCGCCTCAAGTGGATCGGCTATTGCAGGCAATGACAGCCCAAGTGGATCGGCTAGGTCACAACATAGTTCCCGGCTTGCCTTAGGCCGGCCTGGATTTGAACCTAGCTCATCCTCCTAACCTAATCCAACCCAACTGTTCCTAACTAACGTTCCCAAAACGTTCTGAACTGTCGGGGTGGAGGTTGCCCCATGCCCGTTTCAGCACATGGCCCTGAGCAGCGCCGGCATGGAGCCCGTGGTGTTGATCAAAAGGCAAAGCAAAGGTGGGCCATGGACAAGACCCGTGCCACGTCAGACCTTTTGAAATGCACCGTGTCATGTTTCCAAGACCAAATGCAGAGGCAGTTGTCAAAACGCCTTACTTTCTACTTGGGGTATTGAGGATGGTCATGAACCTGTGTAGGAATTTGCACAACCATACTACAGTCCCGACGGTCATTATTGGGCTTTCCATAATTAGAAGTTGTTACCCTTTGCTCTTCCTTTAAACTAGCCCCAAAAGGGGTGGCGTCCCTTGGTGCTTCCTTTCAAACAAACCAAGCACCCCAAGACCCCAATCTCAAGACACATCTGCCTGCCTTGGTGTATCCCTCCATGTCCCCAAGCTCCGGCGCCAAGTAGTCGGGCGTGCCACCTGATGGGGAACCTAAAAAGGACAGATCTGGAAATGGGCGACCCGCTGCATGGATGGTTTCCGCTGATTTCTAGTTGACACCATCCAGAAGACGGACAGTCCCTTCTTTTCTAAACACCTTGGGACAAGTTGGTGGTGGGCAAACAGTCTCCCCGTCTGAGTACATCAATTGGCTTCGGGCGGTTTTCGGTGGCAATGGCTCAAACAAATCCCTGTTTGTCTGAGAAAAACATCAACCGTCCTGGGAACTCCTGGGGCAAGTCTCTTCACAGCGTTCATGGCCATTCGGAAAAAGGGCGAAGCCCATTTTTGCTGGTAAGGGACACAGCTTCTCGTTCGTCCGAAATCAAACGTCTGGCCAATGGTCAGTCGCTCACTTGCAGACAGGGCTGGCAGACTCCCCTCACAGGACTCGCAAGACATCAAGGTCCGTTTAGCCACCCGAAATTGGCAGGCCAGACGGCACTTCAGTTTCTGTGTGTCTGTGGGGGCTTCCCAGCAACACCACGAAAACGGAGTCCCAGATGTAGCTTGTTCATACCCTGCGCGCTGGAATGCTACACTGGGCTAGTTCATGTTTGTTGGCTGACACGTGTCTTGGCTTGGGATGTAATGTTTGCTATGGGCAACAAGGAATCGGAAAGGGCCCCAGTGATCGGCATCTGCACCAGGCCTCAGAAGCACGAGACAAAGACTGGGAACTCGGGGGGCCCAGAAGCCCTCGGAAACGACAACCAAGCTTCGGTCAAACAAGTTTGCCTGAACCCAACTCCTTCGCTCACCCCGAGAATAAAGTGGGCGGGGAAATGCTTGTTTATAGAAATACGTCGAGATGGACCCTTCGAAGGAAAACCACAACGAGTCTATGTTTGAACAAGAGTGACTTAAACATGTTTTTGGAGGCAGTTGGCCCCCATGCCGCACCCATTTTATGTACCCCCAAAGCCCCCAATCAGCCTGCGATTGGCGGGTTGGCGGCGCCCTCTTGACTTAAACCAATCCTCAATTGCAACTAAAACCCAAACCCGAGAAAAAAACAGCTCAGCACCAGGCAAAATGTGTGAGCGCGGCCGAGCGCGAACTTGGCCAAACCAAAGTCGCAGATCTTCGCGTAGCCTCCAACACGAACGGCGCTACAAATTCACACAGAACCCAAAACAGCAGATCCCAGAAAGGAAGATTCTACAAACGATAGCGTTCTGGCTTCCAGGTTACTTCGCAGGGAACTACTTCCTCGGCCTTCCCCTTCAATATCCCCTCATGGGCAAACATTCTTTCCTTTTCGTTCCACCAATTTTGAAACACCTCCAAACAAGCGCGGCAAGCGCAGGGGTTCGAGTGCCTTTTCGAACTCCTGGTGCCTTGAACCAAGTGGGAGGGCATCCTCACCAAGGTACTAAACAAACCAAACGGGACATGTTGATTCGCGCAGAAGATTCTGGAAGTACAAGAGAAGTTCACGCGTACCCAGCAGACAAAGTACTTTACAAACATGGCTGTGGAACGTATATCTTTCATGACCCTATTCCCATGCCACAATCCGTGGCAACATAAAAACCCGTTTTCCGCAAACCTGCTAACAGTTTTACATCACCTCTTTTCAGCCATGTAAGTCATGCGCCCCGGTTTCTCTTGGACCTCAATCCCGACAGCCATCCGCATTCAAGGGGAGAACACCTGAAATCCGCTTTTTTTGGGATGACCTTCAAAGGGGGGGCTTGGGGACCAATGCTTTTGCAAGAAAACCCAAACCACTCTTTCTGAGCCACGGCGAGATCGGAAAGCTGTCATGCAAGAACGGCCATACCCATTTGGAAAACCGTTGTAGTGGTCTAAACCGGAATCATCCACTGAGACTGATGGTGCAGGGGACAATCCAAGGTCTTCCCTTGCCAGATTTTGTTCATTGACTCACAACTGTGTGGCTTGTACCAGCATGTCCCTTTTTGGTGCCCCTTCAGGACCAAAGTGTCAAATTTCGGGGCCAAACTCCAGCTGGAGTGTGATCGAAAGCTTGCTGTTTGTCATGGAGGTCCAGCAATGAGCCAAGTTCTAGACTTCGCATACCGGAAGGGTCAATTGGTTCCTTCTGACCCTTTTTTCCCGCTCCGAAACCATCAACTCAAAGGTTACCATAGGACCCGCTGGCATACGTCGAAAATTCGGGATTTAAAGCTGTCAGACTGTGATCGACACTCAATATCGTGGCTTCCAGAAAAGCGGGCACACTTGTTGTGACAAAAAGGTCCTCGAAGGGACTAACCGGTTGCATAATTGGGATTACGTAGGTTCTATTAAACAATCCAGCCACAGAGTTGCACATATTATTGTAGTTGGCTTCACGTTGGGTCGCACGCAAACGCGGGTGTCATACTTTGCCAACCCGAAATACCAAACAAGAAAAACGGGGCCCCAAATCGGCCGCAAACCAAAATCCTCAATGAGGTCACTGCTTGCCCGAATAAAATTTGGGGCCAATCACTACTGAAGGAATCTCAGCTGAATTGGTCAAACATGTGATACAAAAGTTTGCCATGTAAACTGTATCCAAAATCGGCGCTCTTGTGAAAAAGAAAAGGTCGAACTTGCAAACGAGTAGACCGGTGGAAACCATTGTTTTTCAATTGACCTGAAACTAGACACCCCAGCTGCGGAATCCCTTGCACAACCCCACGTGCCCAAAGACCTTGGAAGAAAAGAAAACCTCTTTGCTTGATTCTTTTTTAGTGCCAAAATGATTCCACTGAGCACTGGGGGCACGTTGGGCAACGATAAATGAAGGGTCCCCCTAAAAGGACCTGAAACAAATTGGGGTCACAACTGGGAAGTAGTCATCTAGCAGGTATTGGTTTGTGGTGGTTGGGATTGGTTCAGCATTGGCGGCATTGGCTAAATTTGGCTTTGTGCAAGCTCAGCGCTGCGTAGTAATGGCCTAGTATTGGCTGGTTAAGTGGTTGCGTTGACGCAATGCTGTTTTGTTTTAGCATTGGATTTGCACCGCTGAGCTCTGTGTTACCATAAGCCTGGTGGCAAGTTTGATTTGAGATTGTCGCAGGAAAGCTCAGTTGCAAGGCAAATAGATTCGGGGGCCCCTGGGTGAAAAACCCAACCCTCGAAAAATGTGTTTGATTGCTTCCGGGGTGGACCCTCTGCAACCCCTTGGACATTTGGAAAGATAAAGGGCTCATTAAGAATTTGGCTGTTTGGGGCTGCTAGTCCGGGGAAAGCTCTAAAATTTGTCCTGGTCAGTGGGGTTTGTTCGTTTCAGGGCGGCAATTGTTTGATGGACAACTGTCATTCTCCGTTGCTTCTGCGTGCCTCGGGAGTCCAAGATCATGTTCTCTGGTTTCAGGTCTCTGTACAGGATATGCCTCGCGGGAGTCGAACCAAATTGTGGGGGGCAACAAACGGTTTCAAAGGAAATTCCACGGAAGTCGGCCAGTTGGCAGAGTTCTTCATTTTGAGGATCAAACCCATTTTCATAGGTTAGTTAACCCCCCCCTCAAAATGTCAAAAAACTCAGTAAGACTCGCCGAGTGTTGGTGAGCACTACTGAGTCCAGCAAGGATGTGGCATGGGGGCGCTTCAATTTTGCATATCGCCACACCAGCTGCGATGGCCGGTCGGACAGGTGAGATGGGGAGCGCTAAGAAGAACTCTGTTTAGGCGGGACCTTGTTTCAGAGCCTGACCTCCGGACCACCCAAGCACACGCTGCGAACCCAGACGCGCAAGAGGCTGCAAGGTCCCCCCTGACACTGAGCACGCACTCACCCACCCTAGCTTGAGCGCATGTGTGCCTGCCTGCATCCGGCGCTTGCGTCCGGCGCGCGCGGGCGCGTCTCACACCAAAAGCCGATCAGACCCAACAAATGCATCCCCGGCAGCCCGATGTTTTCCGCACAGCGGCGGCGGCCGCACTTGCGCAAGAAAAACCGACCACGCAATCGCAGACTTGCCCGCCACGTCCGCCTACCGCCAAAACCTACTCTCAAGGGGCCACTTTTGAAGGGTTTCCGCGATGCAGGGGATGCAGGGGATGTAAGGGATGCTGGAACGCCCAGAGATGTTGGCGGGGATGCTGGCGACTGTCTGGGGCGATTTGCACGATATTTGCAGTGTTTTTGAAGGTCTGGCAACGTGGCATCAGAAGCCCGTCGCAAGGCCAGGGAGGTCGGGGATGTTTTGGGGCGCACGGCCTGCGTGCAGGCGACGCAGGCGATGCTGAGGAGGAGCTTGGGGTGCAACAAAACACGTCAGCGGTATACCCTGGATTTCAGGAGACTTGGAGCAACCAGTAGCTCTGGAAGACGGATCAGTTCTGAGCAGGTGCGAGAGAAAAAAAACGCAGCGGAATTTGTTGATCCCAGCTCGTCTTTTTGGGCCAGAGGACAGAAGAGGGGCCCTTGCCACCAAGTGGACACCCGAAAACATCAGCCAACATGCGGAAACGGATGTACAACGCGTGTAACACGACATTATGTGTCAGCGTCTTGTTCTCTTCTTCTAATCCTGCACACAAGTCTTTTGTCTTGGGTAAAGCGGACACATATTGTTCTCGGTGCATTCTGTACGTTTTGACATGTTGCGCTGCACGACCCGCGCAATTTCTTTCGCGCGTGTTTTTTTGCGTATCTTGTGGTGTGTTAGAAGACCTCCGCATGTGTGTGTGGGTGTTGAAAACTGGCACATCGTCTGCGCAACTCGTCTGCCTGCGTTGTCTCACGCATCCTGCGTTCTGTTGCATGGTTCGTGCGCGTTGCTCTCATTGTTGCAACTCTCAGTGCACATGATATTCGCAAGCTGTCCTGCGCATGGCCAAAGCTTCGGGAAAACGCAACGCACTACTTACGGTTTTCGTCTTGAACTGCCGATCTGTGGAATCCCCGGATTCATCTTGGGTTAATACGTGGCACTCTTCACTTTCGGGTGAAACACCCCGCTGAGAATGCGCCAGGCTAGCATTGACTGATGCAAGGTCGACCTTACTAGAGACAGCGCGCGCTGTAAGAATTTGAGCCACGAGCTGCTCTCTTAGACGGGGCAACCTTGGCCCATGTCCAAATCAGAAACATCACGCTTCACTTCACGTTCATCAACCTGGGCGTGATCCACGCGGAAGGCTGTGCCCCGTACGCAGGCAAAGCGCCGCATGCGCACCACACAAGTTGCAAAACACCTGATTTTGCACCTGCCGCAAATAGTCTGCGCCTGCTCCTTTCAAGGCTTTCATGCGTAAGATCGATGCAAGTTCTCTGCGCAAGTTAGCTCTGCAAACCAGCTAGGAAGCAACAGAAGCAAGTCACTGGTGGCGATGCGAGCTCGCCCCCCAAACCGGAGCCCTTTGCGGGGAAAGACGTGCTTCTGGAAGGGGAGGTGTTGGTCCGTGCTCCAAATCGAAACCCCCAACAAGCAAACAGGCTTTGACGTTGGCACGCACAATCGCCGAAGCACTCAGCATCATCCGTGTTCCCAGCACTCAGCATAGTCAACGTCGGCAGCATCAGCAGCATCACCACCATTTCCAGCGCACGGCGCACCCCCAAAAAAGCAAAACACATACGCGAAAAACACTGACTGTGTTGCAGCTGACAAAGTTTTTGGGTCCGAACCTTCTGCAAATCTAAATTGGGGCTGTCCCCCCCACCCCATCCGCCCTTACTATCTTACATCAACTCTCTAGCGACTCAAAGTCGCTTTCCGTCATTATCTTTGCAAGTTCTCTACAAAGTTTCTCGACGCAAGTTCTTGTCTACACGCCTTTCTCTTTGCACATGTCCCTACGCCAGTTTCGCTACGCAAGTTCTCTACGCACTTTTCGCCATGCACCCTGTTCTATCCATTTGTGCGCACATTTCTCTATACACGCTCTCTTGCCACATTCTCTACGGGGTTAGCGATGCAACTTCTCTTCACAAAGTTTCTCCATGCCAGTTTGCTATGAACTTCACTACGCACCTCTCTCTACGCACGTTTCGCTACGCACGTTGTGTGTGAAAGGTCTCTGCTCGAAGTCTCTGTGGAAGCGGCCGCCTTTGAGTCGGGCGTTTCTCAACGCAAGTTCCCTTCGAGATTCTGTCAAACAAGTTCTCGGCTTAAGATGCTCAAGCAAATTATCTTACACGTTTCTCCGCACCGGTTCTCTGTGCAAACCGGAACAACGAACCCTTTGCCCTTTACCATGATTTCGGGACATCTCAAGGGCAACTCCTGAATGGTTGCGGCCCGCTTTTGTGACTCTTGCGGACAGCAGCACTTCTTCGAGGACAAGCCTACCGGGAGTTGCAAGTTCTAAATCTGAGGAAACAAAGGGCAACGTGAGCTTAAGAGCTGACCCTATTGGCGCAAAGCACCTGAACTTCGGGTGGAAAGGCAGCCTCAGTGGACATCATCGGAATTCTCAGTCCACCATGTTTAGCTGGGCTGTTCAACATGGAGGGTTGGCCAACTCATAGTCCCTGCGTACAAGGGTTAAGGGTGTGTCCAAGCAAACTAACCCGGAAAGGATTTCTCTCTGAAGTCGGATCAATTTCTACTGCCCTCTTTAAACCCAAGGGGCACAATCGGAAGTCCAAAAAGCTAGGCGCCATGCACACAACTCCCAAAAGCTTTCTACTGGACCTCCAGCCAAGTTTCCGCCGGGATTTTTCTCCAAACGCGTCCAACTTGCAACTGTCATTCAGGTCGGAGAAGGGGGTCCCTGAGTCAGGAAAATCTCCGCAATTCACGCCGGGCAGGCCTCGCATGCAAGTGGTCCAGACCTCTGGCCTTCCGGGCGCAGCTTTTGTATCTTCAAAAGGTTGGAAAAGGTCCATCCGTTGTTTGGGCAAAGTATCGTGTGGTGAAATAGGGGTCCAACAACCAATGTGTCTTTCATTTTGAATCGGCCCATTTCGGCCCCTTTTACAATCCCGTTTTGTTGCGACTCGAGTCTTTTCGACAACCCTGAGATTGAACCGCTTTCGCAATCGTCTGAACCAGGCACCCCTGCCCGCCTCTTTCAAGCAGCTCTGACAATAACAAACTAGCCCTATATACTCTAGACACACACACACACACCTCGCCTAACAAACCCTTTCATATTCACCCAACTAGTGAACCAACCGTTAAACAGCTACCCTGGCTGGTGAACGGAAACCTTCCTTTTTTCTCCCTTTTTGTTCTGCCCCAGCCGTTGCTCGCGCTGTTGAGCCTCATCAAGGCGGCCATGGGATAATCCACAATCAAGAATCCACCACCGACCCGGCGTTAAAGCGCCAAAAGCGGGACACCTCCACCGACTTCTTCTTCATCCGTTTCCTCACCTTCTAAGGTCGAATGCACCATGCCGCGCTCCGTCCAACTCCACTCCAACCCCACTCCAACTCAACTCCAGCTCACTCCATCTCCATTTCAACTCCACTCCAACTCCACTGCAAGTCCACTCCAACTCCACCCACCCCAGCTTCAACGCCATTACAACCTCACTCCGACTCCACTCAAACTCCACTGCGACTCCAACTCCACTCCAACCCCAACTCCAACTCCACTCCAACCCCGCTCCAACTCCACTCCACTCCAACTCCACTCCACCCCCGCCCCAACTCCGCTCCAACTCCACTCCAACCCCACCCCGACACCACTCCAACTCACTCCAACTCCATTGCAACTCCACTCCAACTCAACTCCAAGTCCACTCCAACTCCACTCCAGCTCCAAACTCCACTCCAGCTCCAAACTCCACTCCAACGCCATCACAACCTTACTCCGACTCCACTCACTCCAACCCCAACTCCAACTCCACTCCAACTCCACTCCAACCCACTCCAACTCCATTTCAACTCCACAAGTCCACTCCACCTCCACTCCAAGTCCACTCCACCTCCACTCCACTCCAACTCCGCTCCCTCCATCATGATGCTCTTGTTTTCCATGGAGCGGTCCGTCACTTTCTCGTCCACCATGAAACCGGTGTAGCTAGTGGTGACCGCAGTCGCCAGCACCGAAGGCAGAGAGGGTGGTTAGTCTTGATTTTGGCCGTGGCCCCCGTCATCTTCGAAGAAGTCGCTCTCCTCCGCCTCGTCTGCGGAGGGGGGGGATGCCCACGTGGCCCTCTCGCTCGACCCACAGGCGATGCGCATGCTCGCTTTCCAGAACACGAAGCTCATCTTCAGCTTCACGAGAGCAAATGTGATTGTGGAGGCGAATTCCTTGACAATCTGATGCGAACACATTCGCAATCCAAACCAGAGACCGACTGGATTCAATCACTCCAGGCGCAGCTGCGCCCCAAGACACTGATCATCCTTCACCATTTCAGAACGTAGACAACGCCCTTCACCATGACCTTTGTTGGAACGGGCTGTCTTCTGTTTTCTAGACGATGGGCAGTTTTAGCTTGCGCTTGTGCGGGTGACAGGAAACATTGTCCTTGCTGTCAGCCCGCTGCCAAGGTGATGCGCTCGACGCACTCCTTTTTTGTGGGATGGTTTCCACAACCAGCTTAATTGCATATCAAGATGGCTCAGCCGGCGGTCTAGGTGTGATCGGTTTGCTGCCCAATGCCTTCTCCGCAACCCGCAAGTCCAAGACGCACGGTTGAAGAGGAGCCGCGTTGCCATGTTTCAAATTACTTGCCCTACGTTGATCTCTACACATTGGGGCTATATGTTCCTCGGCTATGTGCGAAGGCTCTGCGCTGGGCGCGGCGGTCTGGCTGCTAGCCAAGAGTCCAAGAGACTAGAGTAAGGAGAAGCAAAATCCTTGTTTCTGACATGCCAACGCTGCAGCCGCAGCTGCTTCCGAGTTTTGACGTTCTGCGCTGGCTCTTGCCACGCAGGGCGGCCATCTCATTCTTGCAGGCTGGCTTGAACAACAAAGAGGAGTCGGCTGAGTTCAGTAGAGATGAGGCGGCCACGCTGTCAAAAGCCTGCAGTGGTTCAACCCGGGCGCAGGCGTTTCCAAATTCTTGCACTTGTGCCCTATCCATGAGAAACGCAAGGGCTCGTGTCAAGGGAAACCCTGCCAATGGAAAGGGCGAATGGCAGTGAAACTTGCCAGCAGGCCTTCGCGCCCAATGGCGCTGTTCAACTTTGTGCAGTTTTCTGACGCTTCGCAGCTTGGCGTTGGGCGGCTACAGCTCGTGCCGCTTGACCTTCCACCTGCGCCCAGTGACCGTGACGCGTGCTCATCCAACGGCGCCATACACCTTGAGCCGCTTCCACGGCCACCGCCCACGTTGCAGACACACAGCCCCAGCCCCAACCAAGCGCAGGCCGAAGGCCTAGGGCGGAGAAAAAAAACGGGCTGGGCGGCTTTTCTCTATCAGGGGGAAAAGGCGCAGCAGCCAGAGCGCCCAAACCGTGCCAAAAGCCCCAAGGCCAAGACAAGCAAGATCTCCAGCCGCCCCAAACTTTCCAAGGCTAAGGCGAAGGCGGTGAAACGCGCCAAGGCTGCCGCTAGGGCTTCGAAACGTTCGGAAGCCATCAAGAGAAGCAAGGCTGTCAAGGTGCCAAAGAAGCGTGGCCATGACAAGGCCCAGCGAGTAGTTCCCGGAACCAGCAGAGCAGCCAAACCGAAGCCAGATACACCGTGCAGACGAGGCCAACAGTTTGAGTAACGCTGCATCAGCGAGCAGTCCAACAGGATTGCGGCTCGCAATTACTTGCCTGTCTTGCTCAGTCGACGGGCTGAGGGGCCACCTGCCAAAGCACACTATGGACCCCAAACCATCCAAGATTGAAAAGAACCAAGCGTGCCATGAAAAGCCCTTAAAATTTGAGCGCACCATGTAATAGGCAAAATTTCAATATTCCAAGTTTAGTTTTCCTCAAAACAAATATTGCTTTTTGCGCACCAAAAATCGGGAGAGGTTTTTCTACAATTTCAATAGCCGTTTACATCCAAGATTGGAAAGTCCAGGATTTCAAGTAAAACTTTGCTCAACAATGAGATGTGTGCGTGGCATGTTCCAGCCACATGGCCATATTTCAGTCAAAGCGCTAATGCCACCTTCCTTCCCCAAATCTTCTTCGTGAGATCCAGCCCAGCCAACAACTCTGGAAGAACATGCGGCAGTCAAAGTCTCATATGGCCATGGCTGGTCCCAGCCTGGCAATCAGCCCTCTTAGAATCCATGGTATATTTCAGCAAAATGTGTAGGTTTGCACCACAGTCATGCCAGCAGTCTCCAAAGTGATTGTCATACAACAAACACCAAAACAACACACACAGGCACAAGCAGATGCAGCTCCTTTTCACCCTAGCCTGGTCCATTTCAACTGCATTGCCGCCCTAAACTTCTCAGCGTTTTGGAAGAAACTTCATGGTTGGCTGGCTCTGCCGACCAGGTCTTCACCACCATAGCACCAGAAATGCTTGGGGTTCAGGCCCCGAAAAATGAATGGTGAAATTTTGGAACGACTCACCACATCTTGGTTTTGTTCTGGACTGCTACCTTGGAATGCCAATTGTAATGCAGCAGAAACTTGTCACTGGCCTCCACCATGTGTAAATGAGATGCTTCAGGAACCACAAGCCAAGAGCTGCGCATGATGTCCTACGGCTTGGACAGCTTGCAAATCCTTCATGGCCAGCATGTGCCTGCGATCTTCATCAGACGCATGCACACATTGGCACAAGGGCCCTACATTTGCAGCTTTCAAAAAACTTCATTTCAGGAGTGGTGGCTGTTTTGGGCCACAGAAATTCTTCAGCCCCAAGCTAGTCAATTTGCTTCCATGGGCAGGTTGTACACTCATTATGTCCTCAGCCAGCAAAGCTACAGCAGTGGCTCTTGGCATGTGCTTCAGCTTTGCAGTACACCAAATAAAATGCACAGGCGTGTGAAACCACACCCAAGTCATTGATGTGAAGCCAGTCTAGCAGGTAGGACCTTCTGCTCCAACCTATGATCTTGCAGAGAGGATGGTCTGGCAATGGTGTGGCTCTGGTTTCTGTTTCCAACTGTTTGTTGGCCTGAAGTCGAACCAGTTCTCTGCAACAGTCTTGTTTCCTGGGCATAGATGGCACGGCTTGTCTCTGGCCCAGTGTGGCAAGCCCAGGTCATTCTGCAAATAGTCCGTAGCACCTTGCGCGCCCGGCAGGAAAAAGAAAGTCAAACAATCTGCCTTGTCCTCCGCAAAATCTCCATCCAACGATGTTGCCAAATGGGCCCAATGTAGGAAAATTGTTGTGGTGCAAGGCATGAAATCCCAGACCAGGCATTGCCAAATTTCTCTCCAAGTGCCACATTGGCCTTTGATGGATGGTTTTTGGCCAGCTTGCCAAAATAAGTTTGTGTCACAATCCTGCTTGCCTCAGCAAGCCAGACATTGACACTGTGAGAAGGCTGTCTTTGTCCTGAAACCTCCGTGAACAAGCAAGGGATCCCTTTGGTGCCTTTCTTCTTGGCAGGATGATCAAATTGTGTAAGGTCCCAAAATTGTTCTTTCACCTTGCCGTAGCCAAATGCTAGTTCCAGTTCATCATGCAAGTACTCAGTGCCCGACATGGCCAAGAAGCCAGTCTGAAGGCAAGATTAAGTTGCAAGCCATTTCAATGCGTCGCCAGGGACTGTGAGAAACCTGCGAGCTGGTGCCACCAAGTCCTTCAAAGTGAGATGTCAAATCTCTGTGAATGCTGCCAATGTTGTGCCCATAACTGCTGCAGCAGCTTGCGCATCAGGGGCAGACAAACCTCCCCAAGCCCATTTGTGAAACAGCTTGCCAAAGCAGATTGCTCCTGCAATGTTGACATATGTATTTTCGATTTTTCCTTGCTGGCCCCAA